AATTTGACAGTTGCTAATGTTGTACAGAAATCCAGATGAATACGTAGATCCAATAGAATCCACCTTTGCTCTTTTGTTGAGTTCAATTGAATCAATTGAGTACATAACACAAATGTCCACATAGGAAAATAAAGCAAGGATTTTTATAAATTGATCTGCCCTGTAAAGGACACGGTGGAAAGAGGCAAAAAAACAGGACAGAGTTGTTCGATACCTTTGTGCCCTAAATTCCATGTGATAAAAAGATTGGAAGAAAACCACCAGGTCCATCGGTCCTGTTACCGACTCTCATTGTTGAAATTTACAACATGGGAAGTTTTGCATATACTTACTTTAGTTCCGCCAGTGATGCAACTTCATCATATAGGAACTACAGTTAGTCATTTAAAACAGCTTTTAAAGATAGAAAGACAAAATTTTTCAATTTTCAATATTTGAATCAACATAAACTCTAGCATTCTAAAGAAGATCATTTCGTGAGGCAACAATTCTAAAGAAAAAGAAAAACATTAATTTATTCGTACAGTTTTCTGATCATACCAACTGCTTAAAAATATGCAGATCTATGATTTCCTCTAGTGTTATCATGCCCTTCTGCTGTTGGCATAGATGACTCATGATTGAATCACATAAAGCGTGTCAGTCCGTAGTAGGTAAACGCCGTTCTGCTCATTAGATTAATGGGAAAATGGTAAAAAAAAAGATCAAAAACCATTTCTTTATCATGTCCCTAGTACATTATTATTTGTGCATGGTGAGTCTTTTTGTGAGCTACTTTGTCAATAAAAATTAGCGATCCAAATTAAAAATAAACATGAAAATTCTTCTTCTCAATTTGTAGGGCATGGCAATAAAACCTGTCTTGTGTACACCTCTGGCACATAGTTATCAATTAAGAACACTTTGTTAATGTTAGTATCAGCATATACCACATAGTGCCTATACAGTCATCAAAGTATTCTGGTGCACTTTGCTTTTTAAAATCAAAGTGCACCAGAGTACTTTGAGACTGAATGCTAAATATCCAAATGCGCTTTAATTTTCAGGTTCCTGTTAAGAACGCTTGTCTGTACCACTTTTAATATAAACCATATTTTTATAAATTCCCCTAATAGTTTGATCTTCTATCGTGAGAATTGGAGTGAAGAAAAAAATATCTAATTTTAAATCTATGTATGTAGCTTTCTCAATTTGTTTTTTGGTCATGAAGTCATTTTTCTTCTTATTCTCATCACTTGATCAAGGATTGTGTCGGAGTTTCAAATTATTTCTCAAATTTCGAAAGGTTTCTTTTTATTAAAATAGTTATACTTTTTCAGCTTATTAATTTTATAATTCTTAAAGTAGAATAAAGCAATTTAAAAAACTGAATTTAAATTTTTCTGTTGAAAATTTATTTCTTCTATGGCGAATCAATAATCTGATTATTTGGATCATATTGTTTAACAAAATGTCTGAAAACTGTGAACCATTTAGTGAAAACCAGCAACAAATTGGTTATGATCTATTAACAGTTGCAGATACACATGAAATAGCTTCAGGTCAGGTAATAATTTTGAACAGTCTCAACTTCGGGAAGTAATTCACCTAATCAACAAATAATCGTCCCAATAAATGCCCAAATGAATAAGGCACAGCGGATTCCACCAAAGCAACACCGGGCAATGGCAGCAACCTGGAAGCAAAAATTCTGTCAACGGATTAAGTGACCAGATTTATCCATTTTCGGGTCGGAAGGAGTATCTTTTTTTCTGCGGGTTTCTGCTGGAAATTCATGGATTCACGCGCTGGAATCATCGACCTAGACAAACAATTGAAGTAGTTGAACGATGCGATTGATAAATTAAACAATAAAATGGATACGTTATCGTATTCTATTGTCTTAGCAGTAGTAAATTAGAATCCGTTTTTATTAGAATTAGAAAACCTATCATATTTCACACTTTAGATAATGGCTTCAATGTCATTATTCATAGAAATTTAATTTTTTTCTCATTTTTTGTTTCTCGCTTATCCTCTGTTTTCAAAAAACTAAAATACGTAACTGATTATATATATCAGTAAACAGATTCTGTTCTGTTTATTGTTTTTATCTACATGTTTTTTGAAAAAATAGTCCTTACAAAACATGACTATTCTTTCTAAAACAAAACTAAATAAAATATTCTTATCGAAAAAACTTCCAAAACAACAGCACGCTTGGATGTTCATAAATAGGTATATAAACCGTGGTATTATGTAAATTGGTTCAACATTACTTAGATATCTTTATCGTCATTTTAGCGGGTTTTATAGGTTTGAAAATTCGTTAATCGATAACTCATCATTTAATATGAAATATTTAGCATTTGAAATACGTTTTTCGTATTGAGACAGTGCGTTGAAGTAATGAAAACAGTAATTGAAATATTTTAGTTTTATCTTGTATCAATCTCTCTCTCTATTTTGCTTTAATTAAAGAAATTAAAGATCATACGGCTCCTATGTCGTACAAGCCGATCGAAAACCGCCAGCTAACCGCAGTTATTTAAACCATTTAAACTACTTTACAGCGTGAAAACCGACGATTAACCAGACAAGCAATTGGTTCACCCTCACACATAAACATATAGCAATGATTACCTGTTACAAGTGCAACGGACACTTCGAATAGAAACGTGGTATATGTAACCGAGATTAATTGCTACATGTGTATACCACGATGAATCTACTATTGGCCGTGGTATAGAATATTGGTAAATACCTCTTACATATTATAATATTGTAAATGAAATTGGTATAAAACACGATATTGGGATATCTTTCACCTAATTGGAAACTATCATCCGCTTTCTTTGTGTATCGTATATGGTTTATTTTTAGAAGATACTGCCTGATATTTGAAGTGTATCATTCGTCGATATGCCACCTATTGAAAGTATCATTTCACCTGATAGTATCTCATTGACCGAAAGCATCTACCATGTTGCTTGTGATTCTTCTGTCTGTCGTTTGTTTCGACATATCTCATACGTTGTCACAGCTGTGAATGATTGTTGCTATATACTTTACGTTGGTTTTACCATTTTGAGTGACGGAAAAATGGTTCTAATAAGATCTACGCACAAA